CTTTGTTGCCCAGGCTAGAGTGAGTGCCGTGGCGTCAGCCTAGCTCACAGCAACCTCCAACTCCTGGGTTCAAGCAATCCTCCTGCCTCAGCCTCCCGAGTAGCTGGGACTACAGGCATGCGCCACCATGCCCGGCTCATTTTTATATATATATATATATTAGATGGCCAATTAATTTATTTCTATTTATAGTAGAGACGGGGTCTCGCTCTTGCTCAGGCTGGTTTCGAACTCCTGACCTCGAGCAATCCGCCTGCCTCGGCCTCCCAGAGTGCTGGGATGACAGGCGTGAGCCACCGCGCCCCGCCCGTTCTGCCATTCTTAAGAAGTAATATGAGCTTGAACAAACTGTCTAAACTCTCTAAACTTTAGTTTCTCCAATGGGAAAATGTACCTCTTCCTTGAGTTTAATGAGTCAACCCATGCAAAGCCTCAAGTCTAATTCCTGATGTATCATAAGCATTCAACAAACAGAGATAAGGAAAGGAACATAGGCCGGGTGCGGTGGCTCGCGCCTGTCATCCTAGCTCTCTGGGAGGCCGAGGCGGGAGGATCGCTCGAGGTCAGGAGTTCGAAACCAGCCTGAGCAAGAGTGAGATCCCCCGTCTCTACTAAAAATACAAAAATCAACTCGCCAACTAAAAAAATATAGAAAAAATTAGCCGGGCACGGTGGCTCATGCCTGTCATTCTAGCACTCTGGGAGGCCGAGGCAGGAGGATGGTTTGAGCTCAGGAGTTTGAAACCAGCCTGAGCAAGAGCAAAACCCCTGTCCCTACCAAAAGTAGAAAGAAGAGCTACTTTTGGACAGCTAAAAATATATAGAAAAAATTAGCCAGGCATGAAGGTGCATGCCTGTAGTCCCAGCTACTCAGGAAGCTGAGGCAGGAGGATCGCTTGAGCCCAGGAGTTGGAGGTTGCTGTGAGCCAGGCTGACACCACGACACTCTAGCCTGAGCAACAAAGCGAGACTCTGTCAAAAAAAAAAAGGAAAATAAATGCATTCTAATGACCACAGAAGGCTAAAGTCTGATACTACCCCCAGGTGCCCAGTATAACCAAAACATTATAAAATGCGCCTCAAATTTGTGGATGGTCTACAGGAAACATAATCATCTCGTATTGCATTGACTCTAAAATGTGTATTTTTTAATATTTAAATGAGAAGTGTAGGCTTTGCCTGCACATGCATATCAAAACTTGTAGAAAGAATGACAGGAGGTTGGAAGAAAATTTCAAACCCAATAATGGAGCGTTTTTGTTTTTTTTTTAAATTTCAGGATCTTATGGGGACACAAACATTTTGGTTACATGTGATGCCTTTGCCCCACCCAAGCCAGGGCTACAGGCGTGCTCTTCCCCCATACGGTGAGCTCCACCTCCATTAGTTGTGAGTTTACCCACCCCCACCCCCACCTGACCGGCACCCAGTGAGTATTACCACCATGTGAGCACCTTAGTGTTGATCAGTCAGTACCCACTTGATGGCCAGGGCATTTGGTACTGCAGAGACATTGATCAGAGCGGATTGACCAGACCTTGATCAGAGTGGGTGGACCAGACATTGATCAGAGTGGGTGGACCAGACATTGATCAGAGTGGGTGGACCAGACATTGATCAGAGTGGGTTGATGATACATTGATCAGAGTGGATTGACCAGACATTGATCAGAGTGGATTGATGATACATTGATCAGAGTGGATTGACCAGACATTGATCAGAGCGGATTGACCAGATATTGATCAGAGTGGGTGGACCAGACATTGATCAAAGTGTATTGCCCAGACATTGATCAGAGTGGATTGATGATACATTGATCAGAGCGGATTGACCAGACATTGATCAGAGTGGATTGACCAGACATTGATCAGAGTGGATTGACCAGACCTTGATTAGAGTGTATTGACCAGACATTGATCAGAGCGGATTGACCAGATATTGATCAGAGAGGATTGACCAGACATTGATCAGAGCGGATTGACCAGACATTGATCAGAGTGGATTGACCAGACATTGATCAGAGCAATTGACCAGACATTGATCAGAGTGTATTGACCAAACATTGATCAGAGTGTATTGACCAGACATTGATCAGAGTGGATTGACCAGACATTGATCAGAGAGTGAATTGACCAGACCTTGATCAGAGTGTATTGACCAGACATTGATCAGAATGTATTGACCAGACATTGATCAGAGAGGATTGACCAGACATTGATCAGAGAGTGGATTGACCAGACATTGATCAGAGCGGGTTGACCAGACATTGATCAGAGAGTGGATTGACCAGACATTGATCAGAGCGGGTTGACCAGACATTGATCAGAGAGTGGATTGACCAGACATTGATCAGAGCGGGTTGACCAGACATTGATCAGAGAGTGGATTGACCAGACATTGATCAGAGAGTGGATTGACCAGACATTGATCAGAGAGGATTGAGCAGACATTGATCAGAGAGTGGATTGACCAGACATTGATCAGAGCGGATTGACCAGACCTTGATCAGAGTGGATTGAGCAAGATCCTGAGGGTCCCCTGTAACGCCGGACATGAACCCTTGAATTTCTGAATCGTGGTGAGATCCAGGCATCCTGAGGGGCAGAGGGAGCCTCAGGACAGTGCGGTTTGCTACGTGGCCTGGAAATGTTTGACAACTTTAACACCCAGGGCAACTGTCAGGGCGGTGCCTGTTGAATACCTGGGTACGTGCTGTGATGTGTCCACGCCCTAAAACAAAAGCGTGTGCACTGACAAAGAATTGGGCCAGATCCCAGCGCCCAGTTCTTCACCTTGCTGTGTGACCTTGTGTGAGTCACTTCTCTCCCTCCACCTCCCGTTTTTTTTCCATCAGGCTAAACCACGTTGAGGCCTCTCTCCAGTTGTGACATTCATTTTCGGAATTCCAAAGCCATGACGCAGGCGGTACTTGCATTCTTTGCGACAGAGAACAGGCAGTATTGTGGTAGGGAGCCCGGGTCCCGGCTACTGGGTCTGAATCCTACTACTTGAGAGATCCAGGCCAGGTTCCGGAAGGTTCTAGAAGGCCCCATTTCCTTCAACTGCAAAATGGGGACCTGCCACAGAGGATGGTGATGGGGTTTAAAGGAAGCGGTGTCAGAAGAGGATTCGGCATCATGCTTGGTATAGGGGGACTCAATAGTAAGTGCTAGTGCTTATTAGGGTCAGTGGCTACAGTAGGGTTCATGAGATGCAGAAAACTTTTCTTGACCCTTCAGGCCCACCCATGAGTTTCCGGGTTATTTTCCAAGTCCCAGCTGCCCCAGCTCCTGAGCCCCACTGGGGAGAGTGGGGGGGGGAGGGGGCCTGGCAGCAGGCCAGGTCCTCAGACCTGTGCCAGGCATGGCCGGCCCCGGGGCCCGATCTCTGAAGTCTCAGTCCCTTCAGCAGGACTCTGCCACCTGCCAGCGTTTCCTAGGCCACCAAAACAATTTCGAGTCCGTGGCGTAGTGAGAGGTTCCGCCAAGGAGGATCCTGCCTTTTGTTGGAATTTGGAAGCGGTCTGACTCTCCACGTCGGATGTTCTCGTCCATCTGGAGGTGTGATTGGACCGAGGGGAGCGGTCGAGGGTCTGGACAGATCTTCCCCCAGGCTTCCTGTTCAATTCCACTCGTGAAAGAACCATAGAGACGCAATTTCAATACATGAGGGAAAGTGGATACACTACCATGTTTCTCCCAAAATAAGACAGGGTCTTGTATTTATTTTTCCTCCAGAAGGCATCCTAGGGCTTATTTTCAGGGGATGTGTTATTTTTTTTAAGCACAGCACAACCACCTACATTTATTCAAATAGAGTGAAGTCGTCTTCTTCTGGAACATCATCCTCACTCTCCAAACCCCCGAATCCCATCCTGAATGTCTTGCGACTCTGTTTCCTTTAGCACCACTGTCCCCAATCTCTAACGTCGAGCACTAGAGCTGTCACGGGGCAGATGAGAAGGGCTGCTCGTGTTCTTTCCGGCTCCGAGACAACATGCATGGGTTGTGCAGATGCGCTGCGTAGCCACGCCCATCACTAGGGCTTATTTTCATAGCCACGCCCATCACTAGGGCTTATTTTCATAGCCACGCCCAGCACTACGGCTTATTTTCATAGCCACGCCCAGCACTAGGGCTTATTTTCTGGGTAGGGCTTCTACTGTGCACATGCTTAGACATCCTGCTAGGGCTGATTTTATGGGGAGGTCTTATTTTCGGGGAAACATGGTAGTAAGTTCTAATTCATTGTAAGGTAACTAACATCCTGGGACTTTCGGAGTTCATTTTGTGCAAGGACCCAGGAAACGTGTAGACGTTAGGCTTGGCTAGCTCAAATATTTTCACCAGCACTTGTTCTATCTCTATCTTTCAACTCATATTCCCTTTATTTTGGCTTTATTTTCAAGAAAGTTTTTCCCAAACGGTGGCTAAGAAGCCCACTCATAATAACTCTAGGCTTGCATTTTACCAATTCGTCAGCCCTTGCAGAAAAATGACGCTTGCTTTTTCCAAACCACGATACAAAAATTTCAGGTGGGAGTTTTTCAACCCTTGCAGAAAATGACGCTTGCTTTTTTCAAACCACGACAGCAAAATTTCAGGTGGGAGTCTCATGGGTCTGGCTTCCGTTATGTGTCCTTCTCTGAATCCCACTGAGATGCTGTGATTGGCTGGGCCCAGGCCACAGACCACGCCCCCCTCGGGATGCTATAGCTGAATATGCAAATTGAATACAGCAACCATCCGGACAAAAAATAGGAAGTATTAAATTCAGACTTTACGTGCTAAGAATGAGGGAAGGGTTGGTTGCCCCAAAGAGAATCGGAGGGGCCATTCCTAGAGAACCAACAGATCTCATTCCAAGCAAGGGTTTAGAAGAAAAAAAGCCAGCCACGCACACACCCGAGGAAGAATGTGTATCTGGAAGCTTCCGTGAAACAGCTGGGTAAGTCTAGTGTCCATCTTGACAAATCATTTTTCTGTTTCCTTTTCTTCCAGCAAAATCCTCAAGATTCACTCATCCTGCAAGCCCCTGTCCAGCCTTTCCTGAGTGCCTGGCAGCTGAGGATAATAAGGAAAGAAAGCTCGAGACCCTCCAGCGCCACCCCTTTGTTCTGTGATTTCTACGTTTTATTATTCCGCCTCCGAGCTTGGATCTGCTCCCTTCCCTCAGAATGCCATGCCGAGGGATCCGTTTCCAAGTTCCTTTGGCTGGAAGGCACATCCTGAAGCAGGATGTACCCTCAGAGACGCAGGTAAGAAATCTGAACTGCCTGGCCGAGCGCGCAAACCCCACCAAACCTCTGTCCTGGGCCCCCTTCCCCGGGGACAGGTGTCAGGACAAAAGGCTCTTTGTCCCCCGGGGAGCCCATAGGACAAACAGAAAGAGCATGTCCTTACCAGTTAATCTGCCGGTGATAAAGAGCATTACTTTATCTCCTGCCATCTCCCGGTCCTTGGGACGAATTCTATTGTGACACAGAGTCTGCTTTGTCTTCCCAACCCGGCCAGAGGTTCACGTCGACCTTTCCTATATTCTCCCGTTGTGACAGTCTGAGCCCCGAGTTGTTGCGATGGGTTGAGAGGATCTTTTTTTAACCCCTCGCAAGAGAACCATCATCTACAAAAATAGCATGCGCCTCCCCTCCTTCATTTAAAAAAAAAAAAAAAATGAAGATTTTTTTTTTTTTTGCGCGGTTATAGTTTAATGCAACATTGAAGGCAACTGACGGAGAATTTGCATCTAGTCCCTCACTTAACCCACTTCTGTTTCCACTATTAATATCTTGCATTAGTGGGGGACATGTGTCCAAAATGATGAGCCGGTACCCGTATGTTATTGCTAATGAAAGATCATAGTTTACAACGCATGGGGTTCGCTCGGTGCATGGGACATTCATTCTGTGGCTTCTGTCCAATAGGTGACCTGGAGCCACCAGAACGGTATGACTCTGAACAGTGTCGCCACCCTAGAAATGCCCTGGGCTCCTCTTGCTCCTCCCTCCCCTCTGGCAACCCCTGGTCTTTTTTGCCACAGTTTTTGCCTTTTTCCTGTAAAATGTCACGTAGTTGGAATCAATCATCATGGGGCCTTTTCCAATGGGCTCCTTTATGCATTCTGGTTTCTCCGTGTCTTTTTCCAATGGCTTGGTGGCTCGTTTCTTTTTGCTGCCCAATAGCTTCTGCTTCATTTTCAGAGCCTTTCGTGTAAGAAATCAATCTCGTTTTCCCCTTTCCTCTCCGCCCCTCCTTTCTTGGGGTTCTCCTAATGATGAGAGATTTGCCTACGGTTGAAAAGGTGGCTTGCATTATTTGCATTGCTTGAGAAAATTAAATCGCTCTTTTCTGAAACAATTCCAAATGCCTTTTAAAAGGCTAGAAAAAGTAAAAAGTAAATTCTAGTATTGCAATCACAGCTAAAAACCAGGAATCTGTTGGGGCTGCACGCAACAATTGGTGTTCTTGCCAATTCTACCCAGAAGAATTTATATTCATATAATTCGTGTTTTCCCTAAAATGAATGGTCTCCTGATTTTTTTTCCCTAGCAACGCTGGAGTGCCCACTCAAATAGCATTCATTTTGAATACACGAGTCAAGCATTTTTTTCTTTTTTATTTACGTTTGCCAAACAGAACCTACCTAAATTATTATTTTAAGTAAATTAAAATTATAAATTATAATTTATGTAAATATAAATTATAATTTATGTAAATTAAATTATAAATTAAAGCATGGTACAGCGGTGGAGGAAGTCCCATGCACTTATTTCGTCATGTGGGAGGAGGCAGGGGATATGTCATGGTCGCAAAGGGTACAGGGGACCGAGCAAGGGAAGTTAGGTCCCCAAAATGCCCCTTACTGGCTGTGTGTCCTTCCATGAGTCCCCTCTCTCTTGGACTCGGTGCCCTCTTTGATAAACCACAACCAACGACAGGCTGCGCCTTGTAAGATTGTTAGGAAGATCAAAGGAGATCATCAAACAGTCTACACCACAAATCACTTCCTCAAACACGATGCCAGCCATTCAGGGCACTTGGCCTGGGCAGAAAGGAAATGCTTAGGGCAGTGTACTGTGTTTCCCCCAAAATAAGACAGGGTCTTATATTTATTTTTCCTCCAAAAGACACCCCAGGGCTTATTTTCAGGGGATGTGTTATTTTTTTTTAAGTTCGGTACAACCATCTACGTTGATTCAAATAGAGTGAAGGCGTCTTCTTCTGGAACATCATCATCACTCTCCAACCCCCGAATCCCATCCTGAATGTCTTGCGACTATTTCCTTTAGAACCATCAGCCCCAATCTCTCATGTGGAGCACTAGAGCTGTCACGGGGCAGATGAGAAGGGCTGCTCGTGTTCTTTCCCGCTCCCCGATGACATGCATGGGTTGTGCAGATGCACTGTGTAGCCACGCCCATCACTAGGGCTGATTTTCATAGCCACGCCCACCACTAGGGCTTATTTTCATAGCCACGCCCACCACTAGGGCTTATTTTCATAGCCACGCCCAGCACTAGGGCTTATTTTCATAGCCACGCCCATCACTAGGGCTTATTTTCACAGCCACGCCCACCACCAGGGCTTATTTTCATAGCCACGCCCACCACTAGGGCTTATTTTCATAGCCACGCCCAGCACTAGGGCTTATTTTCGGGGTAGGGCTTCTATTGTGCACATGCTTAGACATCCTGCTAGGGCTTGTTTCATGGGGAGGGCTTAGTTTCAGGGAAACACGGTAGGTGCTCATTGAATCAGCCCTGAGTGATCAGGAGGGCAGAGAGGTGGTCAACCCCATCCCACGTGGGGCCCCTGGGAACACACAAGGAAGCCGATTTAATTGGGGTCAAGCGTGATGAAGATGTCAGCCCGTGTGCATCTTACAGAACCAGGGACGCCACTTCCAGTGGCTCCTCCCCCGCTGAGACAGGTCCACAGCAAACAGCCCACGTTCTTCTCCTCCGCACCCTCGAGAGGTCCATTTTGTGAGCAAATATATGCTTTGGTGAGGTCATTATCAGACAACGTGGTTCACGTTTAATGAACAATTTCTCTCTTTTTTTTTTTTTTTTTGAGACAGAGTCTCACTCTGTTTGTTGCCCGGGCTAGAGTGCCGTGGCATCAGCCTCGCTCACAGCAACCTCAAACTCCTGGGCTCAAGCGATCCTCCTGCCTCAGCCTCCCGAGTAGCTGGGACTACAGGCATGTGCCACCATGCCGGCAATTTTTTTCTATTTATATTAGTTGCCAATTTAATTTCTTTCTATTTATAGTAGAGACGGGTCTCTGCTCTTGCTCAGCTGGTCTTGAACCCCTGACCTTGAGCGATCCTCCTGCCTCGGCCTCCCAGAGCGCTAGGATTACAGGCATGAGCCTCCGTGCCCGGCCATGAACAATTTCTTCAGGGTGAAATTGAAAGGCACCAAATGACCCTCTCTCCTTCTCTTTATCTCCCCCTCACCTCAGATAATATGACGTGTCTACTAATCACTAAGCCCCCAATGGTGTAAGAAATCCAAACCCCACGCAAGAGCTAACTATATAACTATATACCCTTGGTATCATTTTTTTTTTTCTTGAGACAGAGTCTCGCTCTGTCACCTGAGCTAGAGTGCCGTGGCGTCAGAGCCTCGCTCACAGCAACCTCAACTCCTGGGCTCAAGCGATCCTCCTGCCTCAGCCTCCCGAGTAGCTGGGACTACAGGCATGTGCCACTATGCCCGGCTAATTTTTGTGTTTTGTTGTTTTTGTTTTTGTTTTTTTTTTGTAGACGCAGAATCTCATTCTTGCTCACGCTGGTCTGGAACTCCTGACCTCAACCGATCCTCCTTCCTTGGCCTCCCAGAGTGCTAGGATTACAAGCTCACCAAGCCCATTTTTTTATTCTACTTTTACTTTCTGCTGACTTTCATTTTGCCGACAAAGCCTCCCTTGCCCAAGGCAGGGCAAACAAACTCAGTGTATCCTGTCTGCCTTGCATCTTTGTTTATCCATAAACTGTCAAAGACACAGAGGAAAATTTACTAAAGCATGCTTGAAGCAGTTCTACAAAGGCTAAATAAGACGGGAACAAAAAAGGCTTGGTTTTGGGGTAAGACACTATCTAACAGACGTCCTCAAACTGCATCCCAAGGGCCACATGCGGCCCCCCGAGGACATTTATCCGGCCCACCGGGTGTTTGTGCCGCCGCTGCCTGTCCTGCTTAGCAGCCGACTCGTCCCGGGCCCACAGTGCGCACTCTCCAACGGTCTGGGGGACGGTGGACTGGCCCCCTGTTTACAAAGTTTGAGGACCCCTGAAAATGATACCAGGTTGATCCATGCAGTGACATGCAAAAAAAAAAAAAAAAATTAAAAGATGACCAACTGGAACAGTTAAGAACAGACTCAATCATGTCAGAAAGCAATCATGAAAAAGGTGCACTAACAGCAATGTGAGAAAGTGTCTGTGTACCGAATGGCAATGAGATAAAGCTGAGTGCTGAGGAGTGTAGACTTGGCCATGAGTGGATTTTAAACCTGATCCACCTTTTCCACTTTTTCCCTTTAACTGGGCGACTCAGTTAACCACCCCAGACTTCCATTTCCACGTGCGTAAAATGGGATCAATTAATGTCTGTCTCAGAGAATTGTTCCCGAAGATTTGATGAGATAAAATATATAAAAGTACTTAGTGCTTGACTCTGGTAGATTTTCATGAGGAGTTAGCTCTTATCTTTAATGCATTAATAAGGATCTTGACTCGGGCATGCAGCACTGCCCAAACTTTACCACCATAAACCTTTTTTTTTTTTTCCTCCAGAGCATGTTGCGAGGTTAAGGTTCTGCAGAAAGCAATTTGGGAAATGCTGCCTTAAATAAATAAAACGTAAGACTCTGGGGGGAGAGAGGCCGTCTTGAATATCCTCATCAGAAAAATGAGACGTTTTAAAGTGGTGCTTGGCCAGGCACCGTGGCTCACGCCTGTCATCCTAGCAATCCGGGAGGCCGAGGCAGGAGGATCGCTCAAGGTCAGGAGTTTGAAAGCAGCCTGAGCAAGAGCAAGACCCCGTCTCTACTAAAAATGGAAATAAATTAATTGGGCAACTAAAAATATATAGAGAAAAAATTAGCCGGGCATGGTGGCGCATGCCTGTAGTCCCAGCTACTCAGGAGACTGAGGCAGGAGAATGGCTTGAGCCCAGGAGTTTGAGGTTGCTGTGAGCGAGGCTGACGCCACGGCACTCACTCTAGCCGGGGCAACAGAGCAAGACTCTGT